CCCCCCGGGCCCCATCTCCTACTCATCCCACCCCACCCTTGGGCCCAGCCTGTGAGCCAAGTGGGAGTGGGGAGTGGCAGAGAGCCCTGGGCCTGCCCGCTCCCACAGGCATGTGGGCCCCAGAGCCTTCACCTCGCCAGCCTCTCTTCCATCTGCCACAACCCCAGCTGCCACCATGGCCCTCCACAGTCACCCCTGGGCCGTCTCTTCCTCCTGTTGGGAGAATGTACCTCCTGGGAGAGCCCGAGGCCCCCTCTCTGCTCCTTGCTCCCCATCTGTCTCCCCTCCCCTCCCCTGCCCTGCCCTGCCCATGGGTCCATGTGCTCAGAGCTGGCTACACATCCTGTGGCTGCCTGTGATACGCGGCTCCCCCAGGCAGGGCTGGACCCTGGGTACCTCTTTGCCCCCAGGGCTGACCCCTCTCTCTGTTGGAGGTCAGCCGGTTCTGAGGCCTCCAAGCCACCTTTCTACTCCTCGATTCCATGGCCTGGTCTCCACTCCCCCCGGGCTTCGGGGTACACGCTGCTCTGCGGCCTCCCCGCACGCCGGCCTTCATGCACCCCTGCTCCTGCGGCCTCAGAGCCTTGGCATCTTCCCCGACCTCCAGCCAGGCAGTCAGGTTTCTGCAATGTGGGGCCCATGGTCAGTGTCCCCTACAGCGCTGCCAGCCCTTCTCCCTGGGGGTCCGCCCTCCATCCCCTTCCCAGGAGCTTGCTGTGCACCCACTGCTGGGCCTCCCAGCCTAGGGGCTTGGCACGTGCCTGTTAGCAGAGGCACCGGGCAGGAGGAGGAGGAGGAGCCTTCAGCGCCTGGCGCCCGTGTGTATTTACTGGTCCGGCCCCAGCCCCGCGCCGCTCCCCGCGGACCCGGCCTCCCGCCTGTGTCCAGCCAGGTGTTGGGTGATGGAGCAGGGCTCCCTAAGGACAAGGAGCACAGTGTCTGCTTTCTTTGCAAGCACAGTGCTGACAAGGAACAGAATACCCACAGCGACTGCTTCCAGGAAACGGCTGCAGGGCGGGCGGGAGCCTCCACCTCGCAGCCCCTTCCCAGCAAGCCGGCCTGCAGGTGGTCTTCCAGGAAGGGGCCCCCGCTGGCTTCCCTCAGCCCTGGAAAGGGGCCAACGGTGTCACCAGGAGCAGGCTGGGGAGCGGGGCAGAGCGGGGAGAAGGAGAAAGGAGAGGCGCGGAGGAGGGAAGGAGGGATGGGGCGCAGGCCTGGGCCACGCCTAGTGTGGTTACCGCAGCCTCAGGGGAGAGCAAGGCTGACCACAGCTCCTTCTTGAACCTTCCAGTCCCCCTTTTGGGAAGTCACAAGATCTCCACTCAGGTCTTTGGCTCTCTGGGGCTTGTCAGGCATCTCACACACGCGCGCGTGCACACACACACACACACACACACACACACGGGCACACCCGCCTGAAAACACGAGCAAGCTGGGCCGCTGTGGGACGCCATTCCCTGAGACCCAGCTGGGGTCCGGTTGAGGGGCTGACCTCCTGGCCCCCATGTTGGGAGGGCCGAGGAGGGCCCCCGCCCGGACCCACTGCGCCCTTAGCTCTGAGTGCTCAGATCCCACACCATGTCTAGAGAGAAGGAAATCATTTATCTTCCCGGGAGCTCAGGGTCGGGGAGAGGGGGCTGCCCTCCTTGGGGCCCCAACTGTTTTCTTTGAGACTTCCCAGGGTGCATCATAGTCAGACCCCAAACGTCGCTTCATCCCTGTTTAAAGAACTTTACTTCCTTCGTAGAGTTGGGATTTTCTGTCTTCATTCAATGGTATACCAAGTGCCCTGCCTCCATCCCATCCCCAGCTGCTCCTAATCCCTGTTTCAAAACGTGCTCCTGGGTCACAGAATTCATGCCAAGACACGAACCCACACAAAGGCACAAGACACACACAGCCAGGCTCAGGGGTCCACCCTCCAGGGAACACCACCCCACTACGGGGCCACGATCACACACACGCCCCGTGGAGCATCTCCGGGCCGGACAGGACCCACACCGTCTGCAGCCCAGACGGGCAGGTTAACTGGTCAGCATGCAGAGACCTGCCAAGTGGAGACCCCAATCCCAGGCACAGACGCACAGCTGTGGATGCACACACTTGGTGACAAGATAGCTGAGGTCCCACGCCCCTGGAGTGCATGGCTGCACAGGCCATCCGGCGGCCCTCAGAGTCACAGGGGATTCGCCTGGAGATGTGTGCACCGAGGGCCCAGCGTGGCCACAGCAGCAGCGCACGCCTCGAGTCCTCTTCTCCAACTGGGTGACTTGATCTTCACTCAACCTAAACGTGCCACAGAAACTTGGGTGGGTGGAGGGTCCAGGTGTGAAGACCCCAGTGCTTGACAGGGTCAGGGACGTGGCCAGAAGCCTGGGCACCCTCGGGGTCTCCCCGAATGGTGGAAGTTCCTCCCTCCCCAGATTTCCCAGCACCTTCGCAGGCAGCCACGCTCCCCACCCCGGCCCCGCCACCCCCATGTTGGGGTTCGGGAGTGAAATTCCAGCCCCTGTTTGCTTCTCCACACTGAAGTCAGTGCAGGGGCATTTTGAAAGTGCCTTTGGGTGTCGGGGCGCCCAGAGCCTGTCTAACAACCCTCTCTAAGCCCCTTTTCTAAAAAGCAGGAAATCGGGTTGGGCCAAAGATAAACACACATTCCAACCTGGCAGGTCGTTCAGAGCTAGGGGCTTGTGCAGGCACCCAGCCCCCACCCCGGGGCGCGGCAGGAGGCTCCGAGGCTGACCACCTGCTGCAGGGGCCCCCAGGCCTGTGGCTCCCCGCCTGCCTGCCTCACTCTGAGGTTCAGCCCCGAGAATGCTGCCCTCACTACTTCCCTGTCTCAGGGCCGGTGGCCCAGATCCTCTCTGGCACTCAGGGGCTGCCGTGGGGACACCACCCCGGGAACTGCCCTAGGAAGCCCGTTCTGCTGCAGGGAGCAGAGGAACGTGGGCTGCCCAGAGGTAGGCACTGCGCCTGTGTACATGTTCTGCTCTCAGGGGGAAGCCAGCGTGGACACAGCCGTGGGCAGTGCTGGGAGATGGCGGGGGGCACCAGGAGGCTTGTGTCCCTTCCCCATCGGGTGTGAGAAGGAGAAGCCCTGTCCCCATACAGCTCCCAGGTGGAAACTCCAGAGCAAACATGTCATTCATACACTCCTGGGCCCAGAGGTGTGGATGTGACCAGCACGCCTGTTCTCAAGTGACCAGGAGGAGACAGCCCTTAGGAGCTGAGGCAGGTGACGAAGGCCTGAGGCCCCATTCCCATGCGTCCTTCCCCAGGCAGGGATTTGAAGCGGGCAAAGTCTTCCATGTTCCCCAGATGAGGTTTTCTGGGCGCCCCTCTCCCCCTCCCTACAGTTCCCCTGCCCCGCCACCCTGGGCACCCCTGGGGCTGCCTGCTGCGCCCTGCAGCCGCCACCTGGGGAAGCCGGCTTTTATCTCCTGAGCCCCGCTTTGTAAACCTCCTGCAGCGTTGGGCGTTTATAATAAAGGCCGTTTATAGACCTGACTCTTGACATGTAATGGATGGGCTACTTCATCCTGCCGGCCAGAACCCACTTGGGTAAGTCACATTGGCCTGTAGGGTCAGGAAGACAAATGCGGCCTCACCCTGGGCTGGCCCCAGCGACCTCTGACCTCCTCCATGAGATGGCAGCCAGTCCCAGAGGCACCATCCCAGAGGCTTCAAGAAACTCCTTCACCGGATGTCTACGTGCATCCTGGGGGGTGATCATCCGCCCAGGTTTTCACACACAAGTGTGTCCCTGGAAACCCCTCAGTCTCTGACAGACCCCAGGGCCCACAGCTGGATGGGGACGGGGCAAGAGAGGGTGCAGAGGGGAGGCCAGACCCAAGGGGCGTGGGTAACCACCCTGCTCTTCCGCCCTGGACACCAAGACCCCAAAGGCGGCTGGGCCGGTAGGGGAGGGGCGTCCCTAACCGCCTTCCTGTCTGTTCTTTGTCAGTCGGGGAGGAATTTTCCTGACAGCTCTGTGCACTGGGAATGGGGGTGGAAGGCAGGGGGGAGGAGGGAAGGAATGGGGAGGCCAGGACCCCACCCTTATTTCCAGGGGCTGCCCCTTGTGTTCCCAGCGCCTGCAGAGTGAGGGGCTGGGGGCTGGGAGGCCTGGCTGAGGGAGCTGCCAGCCGCTGGCCTCTGTGGGGAAGCTGACCCCGAACCCATGAGTGGGCTGCCTTGGCACCCGGGAAGCAAACCCCTGCATGCCAGGGTTCTTGGGGCTCCAGCAGCAAAACCCCAGGGAGAGATCTCGGGAGCCCCTCACCCTCGGCCCTCCTGCCCCTCCTTCACCTCCTCTCTGTGGCCACCCTCAACTCCTTCCTCCTTCTTTCTGGTCCCCTGGCCTCCTTAGGACCTCCCCCCCAAGCCCACCTGCCCACTCCCACCCCCACCCCTTGGCTCCTTGTGTGGGGGCCGTCCCTCCGATGTGGCCCCGGCTCCCACCCACAGCAACAGGGGAGCAGGAACGGGACTGGCAAGTGGTTTGTGCCCCTCTCGGGATGGGGTCTCCCAGAGCACCTTGTGGGCCTCCCAGAGTGGCAGGGCCAGCCCTATCCCAGTCACCTAGTCTGAGCCTCAGGAGTCTGGGGCCAGCACCAAGGTGTCATTCTGATGGGACTTTGGGGTGGCAGGAGGCACTCGTTTGGGGGTGCCTTGGTGGTCCCTGACCCCTGCCTCAGAACCCAGGCCCCCTCCGCCAGCCCAGGCCCTCCCACTCTGTGGAGCCCCTGGTCCTGCAGCCCCTCCACCCCCATCACTGCGTGCTGACCGCCTGCCTTGCACCCCTGATGTCCACACACCCTCTGCTCACCCCACCCCTGGTGTGTGCTGTGCTGCACCCATCCCTGAGTCCCCCGCCCTGGAACCCCCATCCCCTTTTCATGTACTCCTCCCCCTCCCCCTCCCTCCAGCCCCCCTCTGCCCAAGGCTGGCCTCCCCCACGTCAGGCCCACAGCCCCAGATTCCAGAGTCCCTGAGACAAGTTGCTGTAACAGTGTTTATTGATGATGAGTCCAGGGCTCCTGCTGAAGCCCTGGTGGGGAGGGGCACAGGGCGAGATGGGGCGTAATGGAATGCTTGAAGGCTGCCCCGTGATGTTGGAGCTTCCAGACTAGGCGAGGGCAGAGTGAGGCCTCGGGCACACAGCCGGCGCCCAGTCACCCAGCCCAGATGAAGGGCGGCCGGGCCCTGGGCGGGCACTTGCCAAGGTGGCTCACACTCACGCACACTCGCACCGAGACTCAAGGCTGTCTCCACAACTCCAACCAGTGCAAATGACTTAGTGCAAATTAAATTCAGAAGGGACGGGGGAAACAGAGTTGGGGAGGCTTTGAATCTCTCAGAGAAAGGAAAGACAGGAAAGCTCAGAAACAAAGAGACAGAAGGATGAAGAAGAAGAAGAGGGAGGTGGTGGGGACGGGGTCATCCCGCTGGAGGAGCTCAGCTCTGGGATGACGCGGTGTCTGGTGGTCAACCGTCCGCCGCAGGGGGTGGCCATGAAGATGGAGTCGCTGGTGGGGGGTGGGTGCTGCGGGCGCTGCTGGTCCGATGGCGTCTTTGGTGTTGGGTTGATGAGGTCTTGTTCCTCTAGCTTCACCTGCAAATAGCGACACGTGGGTTGGGTGGGGGCAGGGTGCTCGGGGGCCTGGAGGCTTCCGGAAGGAGCGCTGGTGCTCACCTTCCGGAGCCGATTCCTGAGTCAAGTAGTGCAGTGGTTGTAAAGTGCAGCGTGTTCGATTCCAACTAGAGGGTTTTGTGTCCGGATTCAAAGGCCCAGGCTTGAGCTGGGTAGCACCATTCTGCGGATGGAGAAGGAGTGAGGTCCCACTCAGCTCCTCTCACGTGCCCCCCACCCCAGGTGTGGCAGGAGGCCCCGTACCTTTCATGTTGTGGGTTCTGGGAGCCCAGAGGGCAGCTGTAGTGTGCCGACTCCGTGGGAGAAGTAAAGAAACAGACCCGCTTCTTGCCGCAGCCCCACCAGCCTAGGGTGTTCTGTAGGAGACAAAGGTGGGGGTAGTGAGATGGTGGCCCGGCCGGGCGGTCTGGGCAGGGCCCCGTCCCGACGCAAGGAGGGCAGACATGCTTACCAGGAAGGCCGGACGCGCCCCTTCTGTCCTCGCCGTCACACCGGACCATGTCATGTCCCACTCGGCAAGTCCGCCGGACCTGGCGTCCCGGCCTTCGGCAGCTGGTGGGCACGTCCACCCCGACTGGAGACCTGGCTGTGGGGAGAACGAGAGAGGTGTTGGTTGTGTGGGAAGGGGCGGGTGGGGGCTCAGGGTGGCAGAGGAGAAAAAACTCACCCTCGTCTCCAGCCCGAACGCTGAGGCACCGATCCCGGCTCCGTCGTCGCCCATGAGGCCCGCCTTGGCCACGGGCTCTGGAGGCCAGTGCCTCCCGCTCGCCGCCTGCTGTGCTCCTCACCCCTGCCTGCGCCAGCCTCCCTCCTGAGAGCTCTCATTCACTCCGCCCCGCCCGCCTCGCCTAGTCTGGTCTCGCCCCATGCCCTTGACTCCCCTGGATGCTGTACTGCCTGCCAAGCCAGCCCCAGGGGCTGAGCGGTGAGGGCATACAGTGTCACCAAGTCCACTGTGGGCCCTCTCCGCACCAGACCCTGGGCCGCAGTGCCTCGTGGGAACGGCGCCCGCAGGCCAAGCCCCTGCAGCCTCCTTGCTGCGTAATGTCCCGGGGCCCCTCCCGCGGCCGCTTTGCCCTCCTGGTGACGTCCTGCTGCAACTCCCCGAGCACTGCCTGTCTTCCCGCTCTCCAGCCCTCGAGGCTCTGGCATAGGCCTGAGAAAGCCCTGCCAGAGCTGCCCCTGTGCCTGCTACTAAATGAATTGCGGTGGGTGAGGTGGCAGCTGGGGACCCCTCTGTCCTGTGTCCCCTGCCTTGTCCCTGTCTGACCCGGGCCTGGGGTACCACCCCACGTGCTGGACCCTACGCTGGCCACCCTGTGCTCCGTCCCTGCCCTCTTGCCCTTTCTGCCTGGGATGAGCCCGCAGCCCCCCAGCCTTGCGCAGTCTCGGCTCCCCCCGAGAAGATGTCACCTTTGCTAACTTTCCTGCCCCCATCCTGCCCCTCTGCCGGGAGGGTATCTGCTTCTCCCCGCCAGCCCTCGATCCCCTAAACCTCCTTCTTTCAGAAGGCTGGGGAAGCGAGGCCTGAGGAGGGAAGGGACTCACCTGCCCGGCAGATGGGGTTCTCACCTGCCCGCTGCTGCCAGCTACACCTCCGTTGCCCAGGCCCTGGGATCAAACCCTGCCCATCAGCTCCCCTCGTCCAACCAGCTGCCACGTCCTGTAACCAAAAGTGACCGGGATGAATGCCTGGCTCCCCCTTCTCTCCAGCCCTAGCTCGGGCCCATCGCCCCCAGCTGATGTTGCTCCCTCTGCACGATGCCTGGGCGCCTACACCGCTCTCCTCACTGGCCCCAGACCCCACAGCCCTGCCCCGAGCTAGCCCCTCCACCCGTCGTCACGCCTGCCAGACTCCAGATGTCCAAGGTGCTCCTTGGCTCCCACAAACTCTCCTCCAGCACCCCATCTTCCCCTGGTTGCCCCACGGTTCCCCACTTCCCCAGTTTCCCCCGTTACCCCCCACCCCTCCCACCCCCTCCCTCACCCTGCTCCTTGGCCCTAGCCCGGGCTTTTTCTAACTGGGGTGGCCCCGCCCAGAATTCCCGCCCCTGCCCTGCCGGCCAATCAGAGCAGGGCCCTCCCGAGGGCCCCCGCAGGGCCCACCTCCGCCCTGGACAGTTCCAGCACACGTCTCTCTCACCCAGCACCCATCCTGGAATTCTCCAAAGACGGCCTCCCCACACCCCTCCTTTGGCATCCGGAGACAGGGCTGGGCATCGCCCCTGTCGTCTCCCTCAGGGTCGAGGACTTCTCCCTCCCAGACTGCTGTCTTCCCTCAGGGGGCACCATGCCTGCTGCTCCCTGCCTGCCAGCGCCCTGCACGTACTTTGCACATGACTGGGGGCCAACTGCGGGTCCCTAAGGACTCGGATGGCACACAGAGCCCTTTCCTGCCACCACCACGGACGGCTCAGACCTCACGTTTGCTCCAGGGGTCCCGGAAGTCCACGGGGTGTGGTTTCTGGAGAGTGGGGGTGGGGTGTTGAGGGCAGAGGCAAGTGCCGAAAACCCCCGATGGGTGCGGTGCCAGCCCCCAGGCCGATTCCCATCCAGTTGAACGAGATTGTGCTCGTCACCACGGCTTCCGCAGGACAGAGTCCCCACAGCCGCTGGGCGCCCTGGTCCCCTTCCCGTCCACTTTCCTGTCTGAAGACTGCATGCTGCCGGTCGTGCTCTCGGCTCCCGGGCGCACTCTACTGACAAATGGTGGGCGGCCTCACAGACTCTCCCAGGCCCCGCGGGGCACCACGGTTGGGAGTGGAGTGAAGACTGGAGAGCTTCGACTCCCCCAGCCACCCCGCTGTGGGTCCGCGGGTCACCACCTTGGCCTCTGGGGAGGGTTGTTGGGGCCCCGCGGTCCATAGGGTTCACCACGAGTCTCGAGTGTCGAAGCCGTGAAGGGGGGCACCAGGGCCAAGGGACCCAGAGTTCATGGGTCCAATCACCCCGCAGGCCCTCTGGGATGTGGAAGGGCTGGCTGCACCTTCGGCAAACCCTCTGCTTCTATGGCCCCGCCAGGAACGGCTGGGTGCTTGCCTGCTGAGCACTGACCACCGGACTTTGTCGTGGGTGAACCCCAGCTTTACGGCATGAGAATTCTCAGGCTTTCCCATGAGTGGACCCCCAAGTTAGGAGACCAAGGCAGATCCCCACATTTTGCTAAAAGTGGAGTCCAGCCTTGGGTCACCTTCATACTGTCATGTGAGTCACCACTGCTGCCTCTCAGTCATTTCTGTCTCTATAGCTACAACCGATTCTGTGCCATTGCTGGGAGATGGGCTCATTGGGGACAGCACCCAAGACCCAAGGGAGACTCTGGAAATACAAATGTACAGGGCAAGGCGGCTCCCCAGGCCCCTCGCTCCCGCTCCAGGCGTTGTGGGAGGGCCTAGCACAGGATCCGGTGGTGCTGCCCTGGAATTTCACTCCCAGCAATGCACGGGCACAGGGAACACCTGTGGGTAAATGCACCTCTCCACATGCCAGCTACCACCGCCCAGACATGATGATCTCTGAGCAAGTGGCACACCCGGGCCATCGAACATCTTAGCCCCATCAGGGTCCCCACCCCATACCAAGTCCATAAACCACAGGGTGTCTGCTGTACCCACGTTAGTGGATTATCTCTGACAACACAAGGATCCTGGACCCTAGAATAAAGCAGCAGTGGCCCTCCCAGCTCTTTAGCATCTTAAGCTCCTGAATTAGCATCTCAAACCTGCATTGAATGGGCATGTTAATGTCTGGCCACTTAGGGCTGAGGAGCTCGGAGTGTTCTCTGGGGAGGCAGAAGTCAGTTCAGTAAAGAGTTGGATTTGGGCGCTGTCCTTAGAGTCGGATCTGTGCTCTGCGATACATGTGGAAAGTGTAAGATTTTGCTGGAACACGCGGTGATCATCACATAAGTAGGCGTGACTTGAGTCCCAAACAATGACACCGAAGCCCTCAGAGTGCGAGCCGGGGCCACAGGGCTGTGGATATGGCCCCACCTGAAGACTTGGTGTGGCTTCCATGAGTGTCCTATTCCCAGATGACTCCCGTGAACCCTGCGGCACCTGGCGTGGGTGACCCGGGACATTTCCACGGGCGAACCACAGCCGGGGCGGGCTCGGACTATGATGTGTGAGCCTGCACTGCCGCCGCGCGGCCACTTCCGATTCCACAACTACAACCAATTCCGCGCCGTCTGGGCAGTGAGACCGAAGGGGAAGCCTCTAGAAATACACATGTGCTACGCAAGAGTCCCCGGGTTCTTGTGCCTGCCAGAGACCCTACGAGAAGGGTCTCACGCTGAGGCCGAGATCCCCATCATCCAAAGAATGGGGACACCTCATTGTCTCCCAAGTATCTCCTCTCATCTCCCCAACCCTCCATAGTGCACCCTGGGGTAAATCAGACACGTAGCCCGATGTGGCGCCCATGAGTGTCCTATCCCTCACGACCCCCGGGAACCCTGCGGCGCCTGGCTTGCGTGACCCGGGACATTTCCGCGGGCGAACCCCAGCCGGGGAGGGCTCGGGCTGTGATGTGTGAGCCTGTACTGCCGCCGCGCGGCCACTTCTGATTCCACAACTACAACCGATTCTGTGCAATCCGGGCAGTGAGATCGAAGGGGAAGCCTCTAGAAATACACATGTGCTATGCAAGAGCCCCCAGGTTCTTGTGTCTGCCAGAGACCCTGTGGGAGGGGTCTCACGTTGAGGCCGAGATCCCCATCATCCAAAGAATGGGGACGCCTCATTGTCCCCCAGGTATCTCCTCTCATCGCCCCAACCCTCAATAGTGCACCCTGGGGTGAATCAGACACGTAGCCCGATGTGGCTCCCATGAGTGTCCTATCCCTCATGACCCCCGGGAACCCTGCGGCGCCTGGCTTGTGTGACCCGGGATGTTTCCACGGGCGAACCCCAGCTGGGGCGGGCTCGGGCTGTGATGTGTGAGCCTGCACTGCCGCCGCGCGGCCACTTCTGATTCCACAACTACAACCGATTCTGTGCAATCCGGACGGTGAGACCGAAGGGGAAGCCTCCAGAAATACCCACGTGCTATGCAAGAGCCCCTGGGCTCTTGTGCCTGCCAAAGACCCTGTGGGAGGGGTCTCACGCTGAGGCCAAGATCCCCATCATCCAAAGAATGGGGACACTTCACTGTCCCCCAAGTATCTCCTCCAATCTCCCCAACCTTCAACAGTGCACCCTGGGGTGACTCAGGCACGTAGCCCGATGTGGCTCTCATGAGCGTCCTATCCCTGATGACCCCCGTGAACCGTGCAGCACCTGGCCTGTTGACCTGGGACATTTCCGCAGGGGAACTGCAGGTAGCCGGGCTTGGGCTATGATGCGTGAGCCTGCCCTGCCACCACGCAGCCACCTGTATTTCCATACCTTCAACTGATTCCGTGGTATCCGGGCAGCGAGACTCCAGGAACACTTGTGCACTATGCTTGGCAGGCTCCCAGGATCCCTGTTCCTGCCGAAGGCCTTGTGGGAAACAGTTCCGTCTGGAGCATGTGCTTGAGTCCTTGGGTCCCAGTCATTACCACCTCAGAACACAGGGATCCCTCATTTCGGAAGTCTCTGCTCTCCTGTCCCAACTTCAGTCCCTGACCAAGGTGATACGGGGCCATGGTCCTCTGATGAGGTCCTTGAGTCTGATTCCAGCAGCACACAGGCTCCAGGGCAGAGCCGAGGTGGGGCTCTGGAAAATGCACCGTCAGGCTCATACGAGCACATGTTGGCCAGGTGTACAGATTCCACAGCACAAGGCAGGCGATTGGGCACAGACCGCACGGTGCACAGACACCACTGATCCTCATCCTTTGTCAATTCCACAAACCGCGGGAGGTCTGCTGCACCCACATTAGTGGATTATCTCAGGCAACGCAAGGATCCTAGACCCCAGAATAAAGCAGCAGTGACACTCCCAGCTCTTTAGCATCTCAAGCTTCTGAATTAGCATATCAAACCTGCACTGAATGGGAATGTTAATGTCTGGCCATTTAGGATTGACGAGCTTAGAGTGTTCACTGGGGAGGCAATTGTCAGTTCAGTAAAAGGCTCGGGATTTTGGGGACTGTCCTTAGTCGGATCTATGCTCTGGGATGGATGTGGAAAGTGTCAGCTTTTGGCGGAACTCGTTGTGCTCATCACGCTGGTAGGCGTGACTTGAGTCCGAGGCCATGTCACTGAAGGCCTCAGAGTACGACCCGGGGCCACGGGCTGTGGATATGGCCCGATAAAAATACCTGGTGTGGCTCCCACGAGCATCCTATTCCCAGAAGACCTCCGAGAACCCTGGGGCACCTGGCTTGGGTGACCCGGGACATTTCCGCGGGTGAACCCCATCCAGAGAGGGCTCGGGCTGTGATGTGTGAGCCTGCACTGCCGCCGCACGGCCACTTTTGATTCCACAATTACAACCGATTCTGTGCTATCAGGGTGGTGAGACCGAAGGGGAAGCCTCTAGAAATACACATGTGCTACGCAGGAGCCCCCGGATTCTTGTGCCTGCCAGAGACCCTGTGGGAAGGACCTCACGCTGAGGCCAAGATCCCCATCATCCAAAGAATGGGGACACTTCATTGTCCCCCAAGTATCTCCTCTCATCTCCTCAACCTTCAGCAATGCACCCTGAGATGAATCAGACACGTAGCCCGATGTGGCTCCCATGAGTGTCCTATCCCTCACGACCCCCGGGAACCCTGCGGCGCCTGGCTTGTGTGACCCGGGATGTTTCCACGGGCGAACCCCAGCTGGGGCGGGCTCGGGCTGTGATGTGTGAGCCTGCACTGCCGCCGCGCGGCCACTTCTGATTCCACAACTACAACCGATTCTGTGCAATCCGGGCGGTGAGACCGAGAGAGCCTCCAGAAATACCCACGTGCTATGCAAGAGCCCTGGGCTCTTGTGCCTGCCAAGACCCTGTGGGAGGGTCTCACGCTGAGGCCGAGATCCCCATCATCCAAAGAATGGGGACCTTCC